AAAAAAAATTTCAATAGTTTTTGGGGAACAGGTGGTGTTTTGTTACATGGATAAGTTCTTAGTGGTGATTTCTGAGATTTTGGCACACTCATCATCCAAGCAGTGTACACTGCACCCAGTGTATAGTCTTTTATCCCTTGCCCCACTCCTACCCTTCCTCCCAAGTACACAGAGTCCATTATATTATTCTTAAGCCTTTGTGTCCTCATAGCTTAGCTCCCACTTCTAAATGGGAACATACGATGTTTGGTTTTCCATTCCTAAGTTACTTCACTTAGAATAATAGCCCCTAACTCCATCCAGGTTGCTGCGAATGCAATAATTTCATTCCTTTTTTATGGCTGAGTAGTAGTCCATGATGTGTATGTGTGTGTGTGTGTGTGTGTGTGTGTGTGTGTGTATCACATTTTCTTTATCCCCTCACTGATTGATGGGCATTCAGGCTGGCTTCATATTTTTGCAGTTGCGAATTGTGCTGCTATAAATGTGGGTGTGCGAGTATCTTTTTCATATAATGACTTCTTTTCCTCTGGATTAGATACCCAGTAGTGGGACAGCTGGATCAAATGGTAGTTCTGCTTTTAGTTGTTTAAGGAATCTCTGTATTGTTTTCCGTAGTGGTTGTACTAATTTACACTCCCACCAGCAGTGTAAAAGTGTTCCCTTTTCACCACATCGACGCCAACATCTGTTATTTTTTGATTTTTTAATTATGACCATTCTTGCAGGAGTAAGGTGGTATTGTATTGTGGTTTTGATTTGTATTTCTCTGATAATTAGTGATGTTGAACATTTTTTTATGTTTCTTGGCCATTTGAGTTCCTTGTAGATTCTGGATATTAGTCCTTTGTCGAATTCATGGTTTACAAAGATTTTCTTCAACCCTGTGGGTTGTTTGTTTACTCTTCTGTGCAAAAGCATTTAGTTTAATTAAGCCCCATCTATCTTTGTTTTTGTTGCATTTGCTTTTGGGTTGTTGGTCATGAACTCTTTGCCTAGCCAATGTCTAGAAGAGTTTTTTCAATGTTACAGAATTTTTATGGCTTCAGGTCTTAGATGTAGGGCTTCAATCCATCTTGAGTTGATTTTTGTATAAGGTGAGGGATGAGGATCCAGTTTCATTCTTCTGCATGTGGCTTGCCAATTATCCCAGTATCATTTGTTGAATATGGTGTCCTTTCCCCACTTTATGTTTTTGTTTGCTTTGTTGAAGATCAGTTGGCTGTAAAC